ATCCATCTCCTAACACTTGCCACTGCTTTTGTTTTTTTATAAGTATACCTCACCACACAGTTCTTTATAAAGTATCTTAGGATAACCAAAAGATCCCTAAGACTCCAGGGCATGGCCCCTCAGTCCTCCAGAACTGATCAATGTGGCTAAACCTTTGGAATGTGTTCTAACGGGAGGACGACTGTGATGGTGGAAATGATGCCCAACATTGACAGCGTGCGTACTCGGGAGCTATTGCTGAGCACTTCAGTCCTCAAAGCAACGCTATGAGAAATGTATCACTGTTGTGCCCATGTTGTGCCAGGGGGCAGGCATGGTGGCGGCGGCTGGGGCACAGAGAGGCAAGTAAGCTATCTCAGGTCACACAGCTCTGAGGAGTTTGGATTCAAACCCAGGAAGTCTGGCCTCAAACTGGGCAGCCGTAACTGTGAGGGTCTGTCGCCTCCTGCTGGCGGGTGTCTGTATGTGCAGCTCAACAGAGAAGCCTTCCGTGCAGCGCTCCTGCGGACCCTGCACTCACACCCTGCACTCACACCCTGCACTCACACCCTTGCTGCTGAGCATGTACCCTTTGTTGCATGGCCAGTCTGAAAAGGCAACACCAAGCTCAGGCTAAGAGCAAGTGGCAAGCTTTCTGGCCTTTCTGGGAAGCCAATGGCAGCTTCAGAAGAGGACAGGGGCTGGGGGTGTAGTGCCCTGTAGCTCTCAAGTCACCTGGAAGCTGCAGTTCAGAGCAGGGCTTTGAACCGGTTCATTCCAGTCTGTCTCCCTGCTGAGAATGTGCATTAACGCCCTGGCGATTCTGACTCAGAAACTACATTTTAAGAATCACCTGGAGATCCTGTTCAACTAGACTGATTCAGTCTCCCTGGGGTAGAAAAGCACATTCTCAGCAGGGAGTTGAGCTGGAGTGAACCAGTTCTAGGGCTCCTTTAGGCGTTTTGAGCAGCCACAGTGGTGATGCAAGGTCAGCAGTTTGAAACCACACTACTCGGAGATGAGACTTTCTATTTCTGAAAAGAAAGACTTCCTTACACTTGAATTTGGGCTCCCCCATTCAACAG